GCATGTGTAGTAGAACCTCCAGGGGGTGGGGTGGGGTGGGTTGTCCACTCACTCAGGCACCCCCTCTAGTCACCAGAATGTAGGTGCACAGACAGCAAGAGACCAGTGAACAGATACAAAAAAAGAAAAAGAAGAATGTCCATTATCTTTATTTCTGCAGTTGTGTCAGGCATCCAGAGCTGCTCTGATCCTTCTCACGTTCAGTCTCCCCCAAGATGGCTGCTGAGGGAGCAGCTGAGCACCTTGGTTTAGAAAGCAATGGATTTCTTGGCTCTGCTACAAATTAAACTGGCTGTGTAAGCCTACCATCTTTCTAAATATTTCTTTATATAGGATTCAGAGTTCTGGTACCATCTCCTGAGCCTGCTTGGTCTGCTATTCTGTGTTGTTGCTGACGGAGCTCCTCACTTCACTTCTACCCTATGCGCCATCTTGTTTGTTTTCAAGCCTTCTTATAAAGTACTTTCACTGCTTTTTATTTTTAAATTGCTTATGGTATTTCCACCTTGACTCAATTTGTCATTTCGGGCTCATTTAGAAGGGCTTTATCTACTTCACAGAATTGTAGCCAACCAGGGGCGACTTGGTGCCACAGCAAGCTCATGGAGTTACAGTGTGTCAAAGAATGCAGTTTTCATGCTTTCTGTGTTTTGTGTTGAAGACATTTTTTTTATCTAACATGTCACTTATTCTAGTTGTCCAGAATCTGCAGAGTCTAGGATTTCACTCGACCCACAAGTTTATTATTGTTGTTAAGTTCCATCGAGTTGGTTCCGACTTGTAGTGACCCTGTTAAGGAGTGGCTGGTAGGTTTGAACTGCTGGCCCTGTGGCTCAAACAGATCTTGTGGTCCAGTGCGTTATCTATAGCACCACACCCGGACTCACAAGTTCTTCTCTGTTTCTTCGATGCCTGCAGAAGACTCTGGGTGGTATGGATGGTTAATGCACTTAGATGCTAACTGAAAGTTTGGTTGTTGAGGTTCACCCACAGGTGCCTTAGAACACGGCCTGGGGGTTTACTTCCCAAAACTCAGCTATTGGAAATCCTTTAGAGAGCACAGTTCTACTGTGATACACATGGAGTCTCCTGGATTGGAATTAGTTAAGCTGCAACTAGTTTGCTTGTTTGTTTGTTATTTTTTTAATTTTTAATTTTAATTTTTGTGTTTTACAGAAGATACAGTACTTTTGGTTGCAGACCAAGGATTTCATTACTCAAGGAAAAAGCAGTAGCTAGAGTTTTATGTTGGTTTGCGATGTTTCAGGGGTGAAATGTAAAGGACCCATTATGGATTCCTGCATACAAAGTTGGTAGTATGTAGGAATCCATACTGGAAAGAAACTCTAATCTTGGGGAATCCACTGTCTTTATTCTACGCAGAAATCAACCTGTTCTTCTTACAGGAGCAGACACTGCCTCATCCAGTAGAGTTGCTTGTTGCAAACTAAGTCTGGGAAAATGGCATGGGCACAGAGCAGCCCAGACTTTGCAGTCCATGATATTTATTAAGAACCCTACAGTGTTAGGTAGATTTTCTGTATTAACATCAGTGTTAGGAAAGGTGTGGGCAAGCTTAGGTTTTTTTCACCATATTTATTCAGTCTGTATGCTGAGCAAATAAATCCTCGAAAGACTTCATTTTGCTTGGATCAACTATCAACAGTCATGGAAGTGACAGTCAAAAAAAATCAAATGACGTATTGCATTAGGCAAATACGCTGCACGTGACCTCTTTAAAGTGTTGAAGAGCAAAGATGTCAGTTTGAGGACTAAGGTGCTCCTGATCCAAGTCATGGTATTTTCAATATCCTCATATGCATGCAAAAGTTGAGCAGTGGATAAGGAAGACTGCGGAAGAATTGGTGCATTTGAGTTATGGCGTAGACTGCTGTCCGTCATTGATAAAGTGATCCAGGAGCTGGTATTGTGTCTTGCCCAGTGGGTGGAGCTGCTGAGCATATGGTTGTGGCTGGATTGTATGGCCATAATTGCTATCTTCTGTCTGGTGGAAAGAGAAAATCCCACAAGAAAACAAAAGAGAATAAACAAGGAACCAACGATGAAGAGAGACAATAATAAAGATTTAAAAAAATAAAAACACACAGCAACCAAAAAATCAAGGCTGTAGTAATTACAAAAACAAAAGAGGGATAGGGAAATGGAGCTATAGAAGAGAAAAATAAGAGAGAAGATAAAAGGAAGAAATAATTACAAAAATAAAAACTTTGAAAAACTAGGGAGAGGAAGATGAAAAGAGAGAGCAAAGAGTAGTGAGAAAAAAAAAAAATCAAAAGGGGGAGGAAAAAGAAACAGGGAAATGAGAAACAAGAAAAAAAGCAAAAGCAGAGATAGAAAAGATGAAATTCAAGGGAATGGAAAGTGAATAAGAAGAAATAGAAAGAATAAGCAAAAATAATGAAAACAACAAAAGGAAAAAACCAAAACACAAAATTAAAACCAAAAAAACCAAAGCAGCTGTTGGAGGTGAGAGGTGATAACTCTGGAGGACTCCTGCAAGCAAGCCTCCGAGCTCATGAGGGAGCCGAATTTCTTCTTGTAGACCTCGGTATTTTCTGTCCGCAGACCCCTCAATCCGGAAGGAGTTCATGGGGTCCCTTGATGGAGCCGGTTTCCGTGACTGTGAGGCCCCGAGGGCAGTTGCTTATGTACTTGTTTGGTGGCTTTGCAGTTTCTGTAGTTCTAGAGCCAATCCTGCCTGAATTCTGGCAACAAAGAGCCACAACAAGGCTGTGCAGCAGCCCTGACCTCACACTGTCAAGGCTGCCAACCCCATGGCTCCAAACTCTTGGAGAGCAGGGTTTGTGTTGAGTAACATGGGAGGAAAGAGGGAATCACACCTTTCCTGTCAACCTGTGTGTATCTGCGGTGCCCCAGGCCACCTTCTGTTGCCAAAGCTGCTCACAAGATGGTCATCCCACATCTTACCCGTCTCTCTCCCTCTCTTGCCGTCCCTGCTCAGTTTCGTTTCCCACCAAGCATGCCATCCATTCCTCTTACCTTTACTCTGATGTTCATTTCCGGGATCCAGGGTTTTCATCCATGCCTATTTCATTTGGTCTCTTGTATCTGTGTTGTAGAGGGCGCCCTGTATTCATTCTTGCCATCCTACATTGTATTCACCTACACTGCCCCCAGATAAAAATACAGATCTAGTTAGTCATGCCCCCTAACTTACCTAAAATGTGTTAGTGGTTTTCTGTTGCTCTTAGCATAAGTGCTGAATTCATTAACATTGCCAGCAAGACCTTGCATGGTCTTTCTATTGCTTATATTTATAGCCTTATCTTTACACCACTAAATTCCTTTCCCTCTACAAGCTAGGTATTCCTGTCTTTAATAATATGCCCTCCTGCTACTGGATCGTCAATCATTTTGTGTCTCCCACTGCCTCTTGGTCTCGTTAACGTGTGACCTTTTACATTTCATGTCTGATTCTTTTTATCATTTCTTTTGCTACAATGCTAGTCAGAGCCACTGTGATCATTCTCTTGTATGACAGCCACATAATTGGTCTCACCATGTCCATAATTTTCCTTCTAAGGTTCCTTCTAGGCATAGCAGCCAGAGTAATCATTCTAAAAAGCCTAAAACATTGCATCCCTTCTTTGCATTTGGTCTGAGTGAGATCCAGATTACTTTACCTGGATTATAAGATCTATTCATTCAGTAAATATGGAATAAGCACTTGTTACATACCAGGGACTCTTCTAGGCACTGGGGAAATACCAGGGTAGAGACAAAATTCTTGCCTTCATAGATCTTATATTCTAATGGGAGAGAGACAAACAAGACACAAAACCATAAGTAAAATAAGTAGGGGTGTGAGGGTTTGTAAGTTTAATATATATATATATTTTAAAGTGTGTCATTTGATCAGTTCCTTGCCTGAGGTTGGTCATCTAGTGAACCATGTACCTGTTTGAGGCGGAGTTTTCTTGGCAAACTGATAATGATTGCAAAGACTTTGAGGCAGAGCCATGCTAGGTGTGTTTGAGGAACTACAAGAAGATCCATGTAGAGAGTGAGTGAAGTTAGTAAGCAGGAGAGACGAGATCAGATTCATATTTAAATACCTTATGAATATTTTGGGTATCTCACTAAAAATGATGTTCTCCTCTTGCCATTGATCCCTCCGTATGATGTTTTAAATTTTAAAGCAAAAGAGATAGACAGTGTTCAGTTGTGATCGGCAAGGTTTTTTTTTATTGGCTAATTTGTGGAAGTAGATCATTACTCTTACTGTGCCTTAGTCTAGAGGTTCTATTGAAGAGGTCTTGATGATATTTGAAATACCAGTGGTGTAGCTTCTGGCATCATAGCAAAAAAAAAAAAACAGGCCTCCACAGCACAACAGAATGAGAGCTGGGTGATATGTCTTACTTAGGAGGATTATAAACAAAATTCTTTAAAAGTTTAAAGATGGGGGAGATTAATTTCATATAACAACTTTCTTTCTTTCTTTCAGATTTGAAAGAAGATACATGTAGGACAAGCATATTCAATGATGCAGCAAACAAGAAGAATTCAATAAAAATGTGGTTTAGTCCTCGAAGTAAGAAGGTCAGATATGTTGTGAGTAAAGTTTCGGTGGAAACCCAGCCTAAAATGGTAAAGGATGAAAATGCTCTACAGGCTTCAATGTATGAATTTGTTTCTACAAGTCCTCAAGTAGATGTCTCTAAGAAGGCTAACAAGGCTTCTACAAAATCTGGGAAAAAGAGAAAAAAGAAAACTTCAGCTGAAATCAACCAAGATTGGAATTCAGAGGCAGAAAAAGAAGACGGTGAACCTGACTCCAAAGAGGCATCGAAGGAAAAGCCGGTGTCCTTCAGGCAGCCATCTGTTATCTCTAGCTCTCAGCTAAACCATGACATTGATTTACTAGGAAGTGACCCTCTAGCAGAATCTGAGTGTTCTGAAAGCTTAAGTGCAATGGCTTTACCACTGGCTGAGCAAATAGTGTCTCCTGAAATTGAGAGCAGGGATGGAGTAGGGACTCCTGAGGAGAATCCCTGTGAAAATGATCTTACATCTCAGGAATCTTTGCCTTTAGGTTGTGATGGAAAACATGGGCGTCACAACAGACTCTCCAGACCCATTTCTAAGAACTGTCGAAACAGCATTCAGAGCACCAATCAAGGTCTTGTCAAGCAAACAGCCTTAGAAGACTCATTGCTTGATTGTCCCATCCCACTTTCAAGCAGACGTAAAGTTGGTGACATATTAAGCAGGAAAAACAGTAACATGTCTGATGAATCCATTAGCCTTTCACCAGGTACGCCAACTTCTTCACTGAATAGTCCAAGTTACAGACGAATGATGTCTAACCCCTCAGCAGTGAAGCTAGCATCGTCCAGTAGCCGGGTGGCCGTGAAAAGAAACCATAGAGGAGAGACTTTACTCCATATTGCCTCTATTAAGGTAAGCCATTTGCCCTGAAATGCAATTTTGAAGGAAACCAACTATAAAACCATTTCTCTGGGGTTTATGAATAGTGACATAAGACTACTTACTGGGGTAATTGACCTTCCTCTGAACCAGAGGACCAAAGTTCACAGGATGCACGACCTTACCTTAGTTAGAGCAATGGTCCCAGGCCCTAGGAGCTTGATCGTGCCAGAGAAAACCAGTATTTCAGTATTTCAATTTCTGCATTCCTGAGTGATTTTACTTTTGTCTGTTCTAGAATGGTTTTATTCCTTTTATATGTTTTATTCACCTATTCTTATGCTTTATAAATAGAGATCGTAGCCAAGTTATTGCTGGCAACACATCTTCACCTTGCAGAGGAGTTGGGGACAATGTGAGAGGGAGAAGCTTCTGTATGTGCTTGACCCGCCTAGTGGGCACTCAGCCAGCCTTTGCAGAGTTGAGGTGGGATCTGTACATTTCTCCAAAGACCTGGAAATTGGACTGTCAGACGTAGCCTCTGTGAGCTCACTGTGAAGCTGCTTTGTTTCCCCATAGTCAGCCATTGCTGTTGCTGGACTGCTTATTGAGGTGAATTCACTTCAGTTATACCTCTACCGGGTCCAAGGCATGATTAGCTTTCTGAGCATGAGGCGTGTTTGCAATGGCTAATCTTTGAAGCTACCACCACAAGTTTTGCTATGAAGGGGATCAGCTTAGACCCCTTTATAAACTCTGATGGGTGATTTCATGTAAGTGGTATTAAAAGGTAATATGCTATGATACCTTAGTGCTGAATTAGTAGAGCTTTGGTGTTCTCTTGGTGATGTCATTATAAAGTCACCCAAAGAATGCATGAGTCTTCTGGATGGAGGAGAAATTTTGGAAGTTTGGAAGGAACCTCTTGGAAATCCCAAAACATGAAACAGGTGGAGAACTTAATACATGTGCTGGGAAGAACATTGAATAGTTGTAGAGTGTGGTCCAGGGATTCCCAGATTTAATTGTGTCTGAAGATAAGGAAAAGCCCAAAAATGAGATTTTTTTCTGTTGTCTTATCTTCCAAATGAATGCACTGTACTTCTAAAGTTACTTTGAGGAATATCAACAGGACTTGTTGTTAGGTTGTTGTTAGGTGCTGTACAGTCAGTATTGAGTTGTAGCAACCTTATGTACAGCAGAACAAAACACTGCCTGGTCTTGGGCCAACCTCACATCGTTGCTATGCCTGCACCCATTGCTGTTGCTACTGTG